GTATTTCCTCCAGCACCCCTCCCCGTATCCATAGCAACTGCAGTACACAGAGTTGCTTGAGTGCCTGATGTGGCAGCATGTGTGCAGAGTGGCAGCCCAGAGGTGAGCTGTGTGAGGTGTGCACAGCATGGGGGGCTGCGAGCATGGGCTCTGCATCTCCAACAGCATCAGGATCCCCTGGCAGTCTTTCCTGAGACTGGGCTGCTATGCACCTCCTTGCCCAGGCTAGGGAAAAAGAAGTCTTTGTGGCAGCAGGGAGTCATTCAAAGAGCAGGCCCTGCCAGGACATCCAGGGGCAACTGAGAGATACGGCCCACCTCAGAAAGCAGCAGACACCTGAGGAGGAAGAAGAGCAGCGAGTGGTCAAACCCTCATGGTTGAATCACACTGATCACAGTTCCCTCTCCTGGTTTTACAGATGTGCAGAAACAAATTTGCCTTGGGTCACGCCAAGATCAAAAAATGTTCCCTCTCCACCTTGCTCCAAACAGGATGGGAACCCAGCTAGCAGCCATCAGGGAAAACCGCTTCCTAGGGCCAGGCGGCTACTGGAGTCAGGAGGTAAGTTTGTTTTTTATTCTCAGAGCTTTTCCTTCACAAAAGACATATGCTATAGGAGCAGTAGTAAGGAGTAAGTGATAAGTAACAGACCACGGCCGGCCAGCCACAGCGTACTCCGTGCCTGCCCTGTAAAGCCATTGTATAAATCTGCATATATATAAAAAAAATACATTTATCTCCTAGAAAAGTTACCTTCTAAATTAACCAGTCCTCAAAGCTCCAGCTGTGCTAATACTCTAAATTAGTGAGAAATTAAAGGAACGATGTCTGCTGCTCAGGTACTTCTCCTATTCCGTTGATGGAAACAATGCTTCTACTTTTCAACCGCAGGAAAGCAGCTTCAGGAACTCCTTTGGAACAAAACCACTGAGCATGAAAGGTTACGTGATAGGAGCCCGAACGGCCCGGCGATTCGTACCAGAGCCACGGGTAAGAAAAGGATGCTTCAGAGAGGCAGTGCCACAGCTCTGAAAGAATTTGTAGGCTGATCCTACCATAGACTGTAAGTTGTGAACACGTGCTGGGCCTGCCTCCAGCTTAAAGTAATGGTGGTCAGAGATCTCCCCATGCCAAGCTTTGTCGCAAGCACTGAGGCTAGAAATCAATCACCAATCATGGGAGCTCTGGAAACATGGATGCGTGCTTTTGTGTACGTATTCCTTTGGATCTCTCTCACACACACCTAGGTGTACATAGTGAGGCAAATCAGGAAGGGAGCTCAAGTTGTACTAATTGAACAAAGCTAGTTTAGCGACCCAGCTTCTGAAGATTAACACTGTATCAGGAGAGATGTCACAGGATACGCTGGGTAAACAGCAGGGAGCACAGATCTGATCTGTTCTGCTCTTCTTGTGCTATCAGGGTAGCCAGGGCATGCATTGAACAGCAGGTCTGCAGTGCCTAGCCAGCTGGCATTAAACGCTCTGATTCAAAGCATTCAGAAATGGCTTGCAGAACAAAATCTTCTGTACTGATTTTTTTTCTCTTGCAGACCACGACTCCCGGACCAGGAACATACCAGCCATTCTGCAATAAGGAGAGAAAACGCCAGTCTAACTATGCTCCATTTTCCTCTAAGACACCACGATTTCCTGATAAACCTCCAAAGAAAGAACTTTTCCCTGGGTAATATGACTCATTTTCTTACTCTTCTAATAAAAAGGAGTACTAGAGGAGAGAAATACTGAGACAGAAATAGAAGATATGTAACGAGTCCCCAGTAATGCTTTGTTTCTTTTTCTTTTTTTTAAATTATCTTCAAAAGGCTCCTTTGCTTCAGTCTTCAACCTATGATGACTAGAAGACCACAAAATGCATTTTTCCCATAGGTCAAAGCAGGTCTGGTTAATTCTCATATTGCAAACATCATACACCAGATCTAGAAATGAGATATTTTGTTTCTGTTTTCTTTAGACCTGGAACTTATGATGCAGACAAGCGATTACACAAAAAGATCACTTGGCCAATGAAGTTTGGGTCTCCAGATTGGTCTTTAGTGCCAATGCCAGCGAAGAGGATGCTAAAAATGGAAGTTCAGAAGGTATGGACAGGGATGAGGGGATGCTATTCCCAGCTTAATACTTCTCACAGAGGAAATCAGATGATTACTTAAGCACTGTCTTTTGCCATCCTCTCCTCTCTGGCCTGCTCGGTGTGGAGCTGTACCAGCTTAGGGAGTGAGACACAAAGTGAGCTGCTGTCAGAAAACGCCAGTTTGCAAAATCAGCTACAGTCCTTCAAAAACATTTTAAGTAGGGAGTTTGCTCTAGAAGTAAGTTTCCATCCACAAAGTGAGAAGACCGGAGCCCAGATTTCTTTCTCTGCACAGCTCTGCTGGAAAAACTTTCCAGTTTGAAACACTGAGAGTCAGGAAAACCAGCTGGTGAACCAGCCTGCAGTGCTCAACACCACTCCGTGTCTTCCTGTGCTCTCTTTTCTTTCAGCTGATTGTGGACAGAGAATTCAGGAAGTATCAGAACCGCGTGGCCTACCTGAGTTTGTATGAGAGCTGAACAGCGATGCATCCTGTGCATGCCTGCCATGGGCACGTCTGCCTGCAATACTCTGCCTCCTCAAATAAAACCTGTTCAAAGCCGCATTTCTTCAATTAGTTTTGATTACCTGATCTGGCACCTGGTCTCTCTTGGCTCTGCGGGTGTTTGGCATCGCTGGGGCCAGCATTCAGCACTGCTTCCCTCAGCTCCTGGTCCAGGCATGGGGGCGGCCATCTTGGGCAGGTTGCCATGGAGACACATCGTGGCGCTGCACTCCCCAGCATGGTTTCCCCCGCCACAGGGGGCTTCACCCCCATATCCAGCCCTTGATGGCATCAGAAAGGAACACAGTTAACTCCTCGACACCACTACCTGCTTCCTCAGCTTCCTCACCACCTCAGGGTTTCCTCTTCCACTGATCTCCTTCCAGTAGAAGAATGCACCGCAGTCAGAGAAGAGCTGTGCAGTACTGCTGCACTGGGAAGAAGTGTAATGGCTTTGTGCAGTCAGCTGCATTAACCTCACAGACTGCAAACGTCCTGGGCACGGAGTGCTGGGAATGGCCAGACCGGGTGGCCATGCCTGGACCTGACCAGCACTGCCCTATGCACAGGAAGAGCTGCTCTCAATCTATGAGCAACCCGTGAGGCCACAAAAATAACCCTGGTGTGAAACAGAGAGGTTCTGGTGTTTGCTTTCAGGTGCTTCTGTAAGGCGCAGCTCAGACTGCAGAGACTTCTATAAATATTTACAACCTGCCTGCACACACGGTGATCGGATCTCAGGGGAAAACTGGGAACTCACAATATTTGTACTCGAAATAACTGCCAACCACAATGCAAGCTTTCGCGTTCTCTGGGTCTGCTTAGCTGTGACTGTATCATTTCACCTGCAGCCCAATTGTGACTATAAAAACGAGATACATTCTTCCATTTCCCCGCTTTCAGGCTTCTCGTGCTCTCAAACATGCAGTGCAGCTGCTCACAGCCTTTATTCTCAGTGCACGACCCTCCCAGCCACACAAGGCAGCTTTGTAGCTGCAGCTGCCAGGACGGGATGCAGTTGCTGACTCTCGGTTGCACCTTTTGATGAAAACTCTTCAAGGAGGGGCTGTTATCCCCTGCACATTTTACTGTTGTAAGGCCTGTTTTCAATGGCTGCATCATTGCATTCATGGCTGACACTGTATACTTTATCTTTCTTGAGCTTTTTGTAAGGAAAAAAACACGTCAGAAAGATGCAGGACCTACTAAAAAGCACCAAGGATTCTGCAGTCTTTTTCAACCACATGTTCCACTTGTGACAGAGAAAAACCTTCTCATAAAGGGAGGTACTTTGTCCTCACTGAACACACAGCGTTGGAAAACTCCCAACCTTCTCAGCAATCAAACATCATTGCAAAGAAAGGAAGAGACACAGCAGGAAGAAGGAGGCCTCCTTCGAGTTGGTGAGAACTTCACCAGACCCCCGTGAGCACACATTCAGGCTCCATTCAGGTGGTTTTTTTCCACTCTTCCTGAAATGTTAAGAACTCAGTCGCTTTGGCTTGTAGAAGATAAAATCTCTTTTATTATGAACATAAAAGATACTATTTTCATTCCAGATTTTCCCCTATTCAGAAAGGGATATTTTCATTATGAAAAACACCTAATCCAAGGTAGAAAAAAAAAAAAAAAAGATACATTTTTTTTTATATACATATATATATATATATATATACATAATGTCTGTACATTTGATTTTCTGTACAACCAAGGCACCAGCAAAAGTGGCAATGGCACATGCAGGACTTTTTTTTGCTAAAGATGCGATTTCAAATAGTTTGTCAGGAATACTTCCAATCTTGCTGAAATAATTCCTCCTCTTCTTCCTCCTCTCTGGGTGAGGGGAAAGAGGAGTACCTTCACTAACAGAAGAGAACAAACCACACATAACTCTGTTCCCTCTGACTGCAACTGACTGTGCACCAGGCACTGCTCTGGGAGCAGTAAGTTGGCAGACTGAAGCAGGCAGGCTTTGCCTCGCAGCACCAAATTCTCATCTAAAAGAGGTACAGTTTTGACTACTGCTTAAAAGCAACTTTCCCTTCAGAACTTACCTGCATGAATGGGAAAAAGCTGATGTAGTATGAACTACAGAATTCAGGTATTAATATCATGCTTGGGAGACTGTACCAAACAATAGGAGTACTTTGTTACAGGAATTGTGTGCATATTTTCCCTAAGTAAAGACTAAATGAAAAGTAAAGGAAAGGCCTCCATAATTGGCTAACAATTACAGCAATCCCACCAGCAGTCATTTTCAGAGCTGAAATAAAGGTCCTTCTCTAAGGAAAAAAGGGAACAACAACAATAGCAACAACAAAAAAAAAGAAAGAAAAAGAAAAAAGAGCAACTTCTGTTGATAAGAGCCCATACTGAACAAAGACAAAATTAAAAAGCGTGATCAATAGCACAGCCCTGCAGACTGTAATCAATACAGCTTTATTCCATACTCCAAGCTTTGCAGCAAGAATCTTTCAAAACAGCTGGTGAAGGCATGAACTCTCAAAGGACTTGTGCTGTGCTGAAACTAACAACAGAACTCAAAAAGAGCCTGAGGCAGCTGCTGAATCTGCCATTGGTACTGCTAGCAAATAATCTCAAAGCAGAGTAGGGTAAACACCACACTCAGCACTCTTAAGTTGGAAGTGCAGCTGCAGTCAGAAAAGCTGAGAATAAATGCCATCTTAGCTTTCATTTACACTTCATTCTTCAATAAACGTGTTTGCTTTTACCTGCCAACAACCAAAAGAAAGAAACCTCTGTGGGATTTTTCTCTCTCTAAATACATGCTCCACAGATTATAAAGCTAAACAAGGTTCCCTGCAGAAGTTTCTTTCCTAGCTTGTAAGGCAGCCAAAAACAAATTATGTCTTTGTGTTCTGTAGAGCAGCAAGAATCTTTGCATCCCACGCCTCTTTAAAGAGTAAATCTCCCCAACAGTCAGAAGAAACCAAATGAGACAATTCCCATCTGTAACTCAGTGGTTTTCACCACTTTTAAGGCAACTGACCACTTAGGATTCCCAGTTAGGAGGAAAGCAGAGGAGAAAGAGGGAGCAGTGCAAACAGTGATGACAGTGTAGTTTGTTAGGCAGATCATTCCTCTGCTTCTGTCACTCGGTCGGACTGCCCCTCCTGTGCTCCATGCCTCCTACCCACAGCAGCAGAGGTGACTACTCATAACAGCCAGAGAAATGGGCTCCTCTTTCTTCTAGCAGCCAGCTGACCACACTTCATTTCTTTCTGCGGATCTTGGGCTTTTTCACTGGCCGGAGGTAAGGGTTGTCTATCATATTCTCCTCCCCATTCCGGCTGCCAGACAAGGAGGTGTTCTGCTGTAATACTGAAGCATTCTCTTTTTCAGGTCCGGAATCATCCTGGCACAGGAAAAAAAAAAAAAGCAAAAAAAAAAAAAGCATAAATAACCAAAGTTAGTCTAAACAAGGCTTAGAAATTCAAACCACAAAACACAAGGGTGAAACATAATCAACAGCCAAGATAAACAGAAGCAAACAAAAAGCTGCATTAAAGGTGAGAAGTCCAGATTTTTAATATAAGCAGATCCCTTTTGAGAACAGCACGGAATAGTGGCACAATCCTCTCTCCTCTAACATGGAAATAAAGGTTGCATTGAAAGCTCGTGATCCAACACTGGATAACCTCATTGTACAATGTATTTTGCAGAAAGTTAAAGAACCATGACAGTGTTAGTCATTTACATCCGGTAAAATGCAACCATTTTCCACCCCCTCTGCTCAGCTGCAAGGAAGACAGACGAAGGTTTCGTATGTTTAAGAAAGGCAGGCCCTAGGGATCTTGATCTCTAAGGGGGGGCGTACCGTGCTCATATGCAAGGGCAGGTTCTCTGTGTCTGTCTGGTCGTCTTGCTCAGATGAATCTGTTTCTTCCATTTGCTGCATTTCGAGCTCAGAGGGGAGAAGAGCTGTCAAGTAGGGTACAGTGAAAGGCCTGGCAGCAATCACTACGGTTGGGGAAAAGGACGCAGTGAGCAAGGTGGGAGACAGCTCATCAACTCAGAGACTCCGCAGCACAAAGTAACCAGTTACTTTGAAACCAAACCCTTTCATAGTTCTGATTTTAAACAAAATAGGCACACCTCTTCTCCTGCCGCTCCCAGGAGTCAGGAATGAAATATGCTGTCCCCAAAAGATGGCAGTCTCTAATTCCCTGTTTTCTGAAGACCCTTTATATTTCCAGCCATGGACACAGCATTATACAAACACAAAAAATTCATTCCTGACTGTTCATACAAGTTCAACTGCCTCATAGGCTGAAGTATTTACTTAGTTCCCCAGAAGATAACACAGGCTGTGCTCTCAGCCAAGCTTGGGAAAGTGGGAATTCTCATCCCTGCTTTGCAGGCGGAGAAACACAACAACCTCCACTGCCTCACACAGAAATGTGTGAGAAAAGAAATGACTTGTACAGAAGTTACAGAAACTCAGACAGCACTGGGATAAGGGAATGAGAGGATCTATCAGTCAAACCCCTCTCCACCATCACAAGAAAGGGGGCATTCATTTACAGTGGAAGCCTACCATGAGGCACAGCAAGGCTTTATTATGAACCCGAGGTCTTTATGCCTGTTTAAAATAGAAAGTCCCTCATCACCCTCCCTTCCCATGCCTCAGAATGGGATCCCTCAGTGCCCACCTTCTGCAATCGCAAGAACACTGCGTGTACACTGTGTTAGATGTCTGTCCTTCACAGCACAAGCTTCCTAGATAACTCACATGGGAATGTGCTAACGTCATCTTTGAAGAGACTCTGCGTTTCTCCTGTCTTAGCCATGAAGCGGGTGAGAGCTCTTTCCACGTCGCGCCGCTGAGACGCTGCCTTTTCCCGCAGCACTTGGTAATCAGACACTGGCTCTCGGTATGTCTGTAGAGCAGGGAGGACACAACAAGTACAGTCACTAGATTCAATGAAGACAGATCAAGTTCCAAACACTACCAGGACGCGGGTGCTACCGGCAAGCACTGACCTTCAAAATGCACACGTTTTCAAACAGCTACAGATATCAGCCATAAAACTCAAACAAGTACAACGTGCAAATGACGAGCATTGTGCCAAGGAAGCAGAAAGAGTGTTCTGGAACAGCGCTACAATAAAAATACACACGCGCTTTCCTAACATTACTGACTTCAGACAGAACCCAAACAGCACAAAAGTCTTTTTTCACTCACTGGTGTCTTGATGTAGGTATGAGGATCTGGAAACTCAGGAAAATAGCCGGGGATGTGGGATGGATGTGGCTTGTTCTGCCCAGCTGTCAGGGCTTTGGGAGTCACAGGCTGATTTGTCACAGGAGCTACGGTTAAAAAAGCACATGCACTAAATTAGCCAGCATCATTCTGCCAAATGTTAGGCATCAAGAAGTGCTAGTCTGTACCAAGCTGTGACCCATGTCTCCAGGTCCTGTGATAGGGACAGAGCACATGCCATGAGCAACAGTTTCAGGTTGTGTTTGGCATTTTTATCAGCATTGGCAAAGAGAACAAGACTTACATGACCCCTCTCTCCCACACAAGGAGAACCAAAACCATCTTGAGGATTCTCATGTGCAATGAGGATGCTGAAGCAAAAGCAAGTGATTTGGCAAAGGATACCCTCCTTCACATATTACATCATAATTACAGGAATCCTTAACACAAACTGCGTGCCCCAGAGCACTGGACTGCACCGTTCATGAGAAAAGCAGCAGCCCTCTGGATGCCAGCAGATAGAAATGACAATTATTTCCTGCACAAGAAAGGACTTCTCACATACGGGCAGTGATGACCATCCTCTGGGAGCGCTTTGCGTATGCGGGAAGCGTTTCAACATTGAACCCTGAAATACAGAAGAGGAGGAAAAAGGAATCACACCAAGAAGAAGGAAAATTATGTACTCTGTATGCATAGAAACTGCATCAACAACAGTGATATCGGATCACCTGCGTGAGACGCAGAATGGTGGACATCACACAAACACCGGCAACACCAGCAACATATCGTTATGGCAACACAGAGCACCCATTCTCCTGCAATGTATGCATCTGGAATTAGTGAGATGAGTCAACTACTCACCCATTTCCACTAAAGTAACCACTATATCAGAGAGTGTAGGCTGTGTTCTGGCTGTATGCTCACAGTAGGACTTTGCACTCCTTCCAATTTCAGAAATATCTGGAGGGAAAAAATCAACAACAACCATTACATATTCACTTCAGTCACCGACCACACATTTGTGTCAGCCCAACTCCTGAATTTTTAGCAAATCTAGTGTCATGGTTTTATGATTTTTGTAACTGGTATTCCACATCATAACATCATGTAAAGCACAGGGAGTTAAAGAGTTAACGCTCCAGTTCTGTGGACTGCTTATTTGCTGGGTACCTGGTTCTCAGAAGAGAAGAACTGCACACCCCAGAGGACTGCATTCAGTGGGAAAGATAAAACTGATTGCCAGTCACGAGACTGCTCTCTCCCATCTCCCTACCCTCCCCCTTTTCCCCTTTCCCTTCTGCTGCGGTGTTGGTCCCTGGTCCCCCTGCCCCATCAGCCATGGACCTGGGCCAAACCAGCTTGTAAACCATTGAAATCCCTCCCCCTTTATTTTTTTTGGTTGGTGGGCCTGTGGGCCTGCTGCTCCCCTGGCAGGGATGCAGACCTAGAAGTAACACTGTGCACCTAGCAAGGAATAAAAAATAGCTTCCAGAATCTGGTATCTTACAGCCTGCATATGTCAAAGTAAAGGACAGCCGAAGTATGGAAACACTGATTATCAAGTCAGATGCTTTTCACAAATAAAAAAAGCAAATCTGCAACACAGCATGAAAAACTACCAAACCTAATCATTAATCAACATAAAAAAACTGTAAGCTGAGATCCTAGGCACATCACCCAGGGAATTAAGAGCAGAACTGCCAGACAGTCCCATTTCTACAGCCTTCACTAACCAAATGTCTGGAACTTCGTTACCAGTCTGTTTATTCTGGTAGCATCTCAGTCTCCAGATACCTTATTAGGATTCCTAATGCCCACCAAGTAAGATAAGCACCACTGAGTTCAGACAAACTGCTCACAGTCAGAAGGTCTGTGACCCCAGGGCTGTGCTCTAATGCCCTGCCAAGCCTTCTGCTTTTGCTAACATCATTAATGTAAGAAATTACAAATAAAATCAACAAAACAAACACACAAAAAAACAACAGAAAGAGCAAAAGCAAATCTGAATTAACTTCAAGGTGATTTTGCCCTAAATCACCACAATGGTGACATGGGGACTCACAGCTCTGTAACATCTCTGTCAGTGTTTCCACCGCAGCCTTTTCAGCACTCTCAAAGCCAGCTTCAGTGAGCAAGGAGCTGACCACCACCTGCAGAGTCCTCCTTCGGGCCAGGTAGTAGTTATCCGCCGGCGTGGTCGTGTGCTTGCTGCCCGACCTCTGCGGACACAGAGCCCAAACTGAACCCAAATGCCTGCATGCAGAGAGCACCCAGGCTGGGCTCACACATCCTGCACACATCACAAGGGTACACATGCAGCACTGACACCTACGCATATTGACTCACACCTACTGACATACACGTTTGAGGACTGCTCTGAAAGTAATGCCTCCTATTTTATGCTGTTGGCCCTTGACATCAGAGGTGGATGTTGGTAGTATGATAACAGAGGCTGAACCTTGCTGCCAACGTTCTGCAACCATTACACTGCCATGTGACAGATGGCAACAGCCTGACAAGATGGCGTGTAATGTAGAAGTGCGTATGAAGCAAAGAGATATTACTGAATTCCTCTGTGCAAAAAAAAAAAAAAAAAAAAAAAAAAAAAAAAAAAAAGAAAGACATGAAGGCACACATTGACTTCCATCGATGCTTTCTGGATGTTTCTGGAGACAGAACAGCAGATGTAAGCACAGTGAGGCTGTGGGTGGTGTGTTTCAGCAGAAACAGTGGGTCACATAGGCAGTATGAGTGCAGCATGCAGGCTCTCGTTCAATGATGATAAAAATAATGGTAACCACGTTGAAAAATAGTGTTTCTATGTGCAAACGTGCTTTATCAAATAGTATTATTTGGCTCATTGTAGATGTTGCAGCTTTCATGCAAGAAAATAAGAGGCATTACTTTTGGAGCAACCTACAACTAGAGATTCTTCACATGCACAAACTACACACGTGGAGATACACACACATAAATACATGGGCATATCTACACATCTGCACACATAAACACACACGCATATGCACACAGACAGGCACACAGAAATCTGCAAATGCACACAGCTATGCATAAGCTGGACGGACGGACGGACGGACGGACGGACGGACGGACGGACGGACGGA